ATGTGTCACGTGCAGGACACGGGCCAAACGAAGGCATGCCCTGATTGGTCAGAATGCCAGCCAATCCGAGTCAAGCACCTTTGACTCGACGCTTCTCGCCCCCTCACGGAGATTCTGGCACGACCTTGTGGAACACTGTGACTACCCTATAAATACAGTTATACTAATTTCCCTTTGTCTCCATAAAGGGCTGTGTAAAGCTACCGTGCCTTTTGATATACCATAGTGGGCGGAGCAGGAAGCCAAGGGACCGATACAGAGTTGCACTACCGTTCAGCAAGTAACACTGTTAGGAAACGGTGGCCGCGGTGTGTTGAACGTTGCAAACAATGCCGTAAATGAGCGCTTATCCGTGATATGTAGGAAGTTTGTGTTCATTCTGATCGTAAAGGAGAAACAGCGCGCTCGATGACTCGGGACAAGTGTCTCGCTTCTGTTGCTACCGGAAATGTAGAAAGTCATTCCATGAGTGCCATTGCAGGCTTTGCAGGAACCAATCAAAAGTTGCTCCTTTAGAGGGCGGCCGCTATAGATGTGGTCTAATTTGTTACCTGTATCACTGATGGCTTGTAGCTGAGAAGCGCGTTGGAATGGACTTGTCGGCGTCGATAGTGGATATTTAATCATCCGTTACAATTGTGCTATTTATCCACTACTGCCATTCGTAAAACAGGTGATTGAGGTAGGAGGGTTTTGGTAGATCTTGAAGTGAGAACTTCAGGCGCAGATCTTATGTACAAAAAGACGCATCTTGAGACGCCGGCCTCCCGCTTGTTAGATAGTTTTTTTTGTAGACTGACGGGGACGCTTGCTTTCCGTCACGCCCCACAGCTGATTCGTAGCTCGTTATCTTAGCAGAGCACTGTCTGGTGAGTAGGAGTTCGATCGAGCTCGAGGTAGCTCAGTAGTTAGAGCGCGAACTTGCCAAAGGTCCATAGTACGAACCCAACCCCGGAATCTCGATTGCTCCTGCCCAGGCTTGGGTAACTGGGCGACATGGCTCAAGTGGTTAGAGCGCGTGACAGAAAAGGTGCCACAACAGTTACGCAGAGACCAGCCACTGATTCGAAGATATGGGGAATGCTCTCCACGGTGGACGCAGGGTCGACTATGTCAAACAAGAGACACGTAAGATCATAAGCATAGCCGCGAAAGTGAACCAACTTCAGACAGACTGTGGCTCGGTGAGGGGACCACATCGAATGAGACACCGGACAGCCGTGACACACCTCCCAAATGGAGGGTACCATATCCCAGCTCGGTATGTACACAGCGCCGGCGACGGACTGAAATGCGACAGCAACTCCCTGAGTCGTCACAGTGGAGTCCAAAGCAGCAGTCGGTTGAACAGCTGATTATTTTTATATTAGGAGTTCGGCAGTTCGAATCCGTTCCAATACGTCTTAATGTTCGTTTCGTGTGTACTGGGACTAGCCATTTCAAGTGGACAATCGTTTGGGGCTTTGGTGAGATGACTTCACTGCACTAACAGCCACCAGTGCCCCAAGGACCACACATTTTGAACGTGGTAGTAACAGTAAGATAATGAAATGCAAGAAATCGCTCCACCCATCAGTATTTTGTACTCAAACTACACTGTTTTGTCCAACGGCACTTTTGTATAAGGCCGTTGTCCCAGTGTTTCTGTTGTGGAATCTCACTTTTCATGTGACACGAAATTACTGTTGTGGTAAAGACAGAAACTCAGTGACCCATCACTTCAACAAAAGATTGTCGCCTATCGTTTGAGTCTTACAGGTTTCCAGCTCATCATCGTCATGCTGCCATAATGTATTTAAACTCCTCCCACACCTAATCGTTTCCTTCATCCATACTCTGTAGATTTGTGATACATACCCAACCGTACTTTCCGTCCCGGCCACCGTATCAAGGGCGATGTTACATGCAAGTGCCCGCTTTCGAAGTCGTGGTCGTTTCCCCGTACTAACTTACCTGCATCCCAATGGTCAGGTAAGTCACCACTATTCATGCTGGGCCTCGCAAACCATAGGCTCATTAAGAGCTATTCTAGTTTAAAGAAAACTTCCTCAGTTTTTATCATCGGTGAACGAAACTGCGGCAGCTATAACCAGTGTACGACGAGTACGTGGTTCTTACAGCTGACAATGATGTTGACAGTTGGCCTGCAGGGCTTTGATCGTAACCCCAACTGTTGTCCTTTACTTTATACTCCATCTCACCGTCAATGCATTCAACCTCTGTTCCTCTTTTAGTCCGCTCTGTGTCGTTCTAGTCAACCTCTTGCGGGTTTCGCTTCAAAGTGCATCGATGATCAGCTGTTGCTGGAAGCCATTCGCCTAGCTAACCCCAACCAATCGCCTCTGTACGTGGTAGACGCTCGACCGGCATTGAACGCTCTAACCAACCGTGCACAAGGAAAAGGCTATGAAGATGTCACGGTGTACCGAAATATCGTCATTCAGTTTTTTGATATCGAAAATATTCATGTTGTTCGAGGTTCATTGGAGAAATTATTGAAAGGTAACGGGCCAGTGCCACAATATCCTTTGTCGCTGGTTCTCAAGGTTTCCCCGCAAGTTCCATCACATCACTTTTTTCTGATCTCCTTTCCATTACCTCTGTTATGACTACTACTGATTAGGCTTTTTGGTTTTATGCTGTTCACACAGAAGTATGCTCAACTGCACTGGTCCCGGATAATTGGATGGTTCCTAGTGAAATTGCGGAATTCGCCAAAGGTTACCATTTAAAGCAACCATAAACCTTAGCAAGCTGTGGTGAATGCACCACTGTTCACGGGTTAAAAGGATGCAACAAATAGGTTTGAGGCGTTTGCTTTCATAATACGCCCTTTGAGGCGTCTACCCCGACGTATGCAATCATTGCCCTTTGTGAACTGCTAGCTAAAGAATGTACGTTAACCATCTGTGGGGTGCTGTCTGTGGATCCCTGCCTCATGTTCAGAAGGAGTAAATCTCGACTCCTTCCTTCTTACCCGACTACTTGTACCATCGAAGTCTTCCTAAAATCAATTCACACAGGCACATTGTCCTCCGTTATAGCGTCGTGGACCTTCATGTCTACTTACCTCAGGAGTTGAGCACTTGGAAGAGGCCGCATTGCTCACACTTACCGTTCGTCTGGTTGTAATTATTAATTTTCGATATAGTTTTCTCTTGGAAGGGAGAAGCGAGAATGTAAGTCAAACCAAACGGGTATGTTCCAGGCCATGCAGCGAACTCTCCGTGGGGCTTACATACTAGTATTTCCAATCTCGAAGCTTGATTTGAACCAAAGGAGAAGCTAATGGACCGTAAACAATAATGGCATCGCATCGATTTATTGGTAGCTCGAATGAGTTTACTGACTGTTGTTCAGGTAGATGACTATTAACCCGTTCGCCGAGTCTGGGGCAGCTACCTGGCAGACGTTCCCTCCCCAATGAGGAAAGGCACCGTCATTTAGCGGTTGATGTGGTCCCATCGATGACGCGTGCAACCTAATTTCCAAGCTCAGCAACAACAGCAACGACCATCTTATCAAAAACCGGAGATATGGTCACCATAAATGTGTGACCAACCACCATTTTCGAGTGCTTATACATCTTTTGGCAGATTTGGCTTTCGGAAGTCATTGCTTTCACACAGGAGATGTTACAAGAGCGGCATTATACACTGGTGGTACTAGCTTGCGAAGATTTTCAGGAAACAGCTCATACCGAGAAACTCTGGTGACCTATCGATGCCATAGGTTAACCAATCATATTGGAACTCACCTGCCACGATCTCATGTGATTTTTTTCGCTCATGGCCGTTAATTCACTATCAGTGGCGAGCATGCTGTCACGTCCTAGCCCGACTGTTTTACAAACTTTGTTTCTCAGTGTGCTGGGCTTTGTGTTTGATGAGATCCGTAAGGAAACCGGACCAGTTCTGCTCGTGGTGTCTGATACTATCCTCATCAAATCTATCTCCGTGGTGTTTGAAGCTGTGAGCACCTTGTCCTTGATTGTTTTTAATGGAGACTCAAAGCATTTTGCACCAAATCTTTAGTCTCTTACTTTATCTCTAATCCAACATGTATCTTTCCCTAAATGTCAGTGTTCAATCATGACCCGTCAGTGTCGATGATGTTCATTTTTTTTAGGTACTACCAATGCATACAGTTACTAATCACTTTACCTGCCCCCACGCTTTTGGAACATACACCCTAAAGTAATGGAATCCATCACAACTTCCTTATTCGGTCTTCACTCCCTTATCTCCAGTCATTCAAGAGCCGGCCCTGAGTGTGGATGCTTACATCTCAGGCCTGGATAAAGCCGGTTGGTTTCGTCACCTACGTGCGATTCTTGAGGCGGCATTCTTTGTTGCTGCACGGTTGAACGAGGGAAGTTCCGTGCTGGTGCACTGCTCGGATGGTTGGGATCGTACTGCGCAGGTCTGCGCTCTGGCCCAAATCATCCTCGATCCTTACTACCGAACCATTGCGGGTCTGGAGGTAGGTTTTTCTCCACCTAGTTGCAGTTCCGTGTTCACGTTTTCGTTTCACGGAAAGCCGATGTTCTGCTTGTTGTTGTTGGTGTTGTCGTTGTTTGGCTGATCCAAGTCTAATCCAAGTTCGTCAACCAGAACCAGTCGAGGAAACCTTAGTTAAAATATGGCCATACCTTCAATCACCATGTGAATGCTGAATGCGAAAGAAAATAGGTGGCCTGATTCTCGCAGCCAGCTATAGATGATTGAGGCAATCTGTTGAATCCTAATGAGGGCGAAAAGTATATATTGGCTGTACTCTTGAGGAACTGACCACATCTGCAATCTACCAACAGAAAAACCCTTTTGTCCAGATGAGTGCAGACTGCCATCTACGGTTGTTCTGTCTCCAGAAGAAGCGCTTATAAGAAAACACACCATTTCTCCGTTCCTCTGAGGCTTCTGTGAACTATGAGGCCCTTACTGAAGCGACCCTTCAAGTGGTATTTTTGAAGACGATACTCGTAGACTTGTTCAGTTAACGTGTTGACTTCCAACCACTCTTGGACTTATCGCAAACAAACCGCTGATTTCAGTCCGTCATCGCCTTATCGCTGGTATACGTGAACTAAACTTCTTCGTATTCAACCGTTCCGGTTCATGAGAAAGCTCAAAAGAAATCTTGGTTTTCTGACAAGAATCTAACAATGGTCACCATGCAGTTGGGTTAAGATGTTCGCCGGAGTTTGCTTGCCACACTTCGGATCTCATACCCCTCAGATCACCTTCACTTCACACCCCTAGCCTTAATTCCAGACAGTAGTATTCCTCTCTGGTCATCCCAGAGGTTTTTTGAGACACCCTATGGAAAACTGTGAGTTGTTTTCTACTTGTTGGTAATCTGGAGCGTATTCTAGTTTGCAGTGCTAACGTCTACATGTCTCGTAGGCCGACACCCTACAAAATATAATATAGTCGTCTTAATTTTCATATGATTTCGAACAACTGGTTTTCCATTCCATTCTACTCGTAACTATCCCCTCAATTGTATTCCAAAGTATAATGATTCAGAAAGAAGCATTGTTTTAGTCTCTGATAATCGATTATCAGTGTTTCTTTCTGTCTATATTTCACATTAGGCCTTGATCAAGAAAGAGTGGTTGGCGTTCGGACACAAATTCTCCCACAGAAATGCTCTCACCACTACTTCAGATCCTCGCGAAGCGTCGCCCATTTTCACACTATTCTTGGATTGTGTTCGCCACTTGTGTGAACTGTGTCCCACCAAATTCGAGTACAACTCAGATGTACTATGTCTGTTGCACGACGAGTCCTATGCAGCCGATTTTGGTACTTTTGTCGGATGTAGTGAGAAGGAACGTTGTGATCTCAAGTTAGTGATATGTTTTGTTTCAGGTCATTTGTCGTTCTTGATGTTATACTTTTTCTACGGGTTGTGCCAATCGGTCTTCGAATGAGCAAGCTAGACGGAGTTGGGACCCTTTCATCATTTCGTACAGTCTGGTATATGAACAATTAGATGTACAGCTCAGGCCCATTCAGGTCGTGGGACCCAAGCACGTCATTTATGCTACGGAATTCAAGTAATGGACTCAAAGAGAGACAACCTAAAAGTTGCGTGGACCTGTCTGTGAGATGCTTTCGCCCGTAAGGTCAGCCAGCATGGGATTTCATCGTATAAACTGCGTGACCTAAGCTGAGTGGCGTTCTATCCTGCCCAAGTTACTCAGTCACATTGCTCAGTGTGTTAGTGTCGAAAATTCCATCAGGTTGTCCGCGGGTTCGAAAATTTCTGGAGGACCATGAGGTGGCTACTGTTGGACGGAAGTGAACTGGCGTTATGATGCTTCTCGGATTTTCGGAATGGGTTGACTTCGCTTGCGGAACGAAATGCCTATTTGGAACGTGAAAATCTCATCAGTATCTGAAGAATTAGAGTTTGTCTTCGACAAATACATTCATTTGCGAATTGATTTGTTTTTCACGAGGGACTCAACTGAATCTCTCTTTTATGATATTCTTCAACTGAATGTGATGCACACAGGCCGCCTCATGTTTGAATTGGCACGATATTCGAGATGTCGCAGTACATTTTCATAAAGGTTGACGGTAACTCGGGGAGTCTCAAGATGGGCGAAACTGGTCGTGGGCTATCGAAGAGTTTCCAGCAGCCTTGCGAGTAGTTTCCTTTGTGCCTTTGTGCAACACATTCAGTTGAAGGACATCATAAACGAGAGATTCAGTTGAGTCTCGTCAAAAGCAAATTGATTTTCAAATGAGCGTGCTTGCCGAAATCAGTGCAATTTGGGTGCAATTAGAACATAATAAGGTTGACGGAAACTCGCGGACTGCGCCTACCTGATGAGCTCCAAGAAGGACGAAACTGGTCTTGGGATGTCGAAGATTTTTCAGCAACCTTGTGAGTAGTTCCCTTTATGAAACTAGATTTTGTTTTCTTTGCTTGACAGAGATCAATTCCATCCTCTGGGCAACTGGCTGTTCTCATTTTCACGGGTGACCTACCCGGTTCCAGGAATCCCTTGCGATGGTGCATATCGGGCTATCATGGAAATAGGGTGATGGACTAAATGTCACGAAAATTCCGGGTTTCGTGCCCATTTTACAAGGCTGTCGTGGTAGTTCGTGGGGTATGATTACTTGGAGTCACATAACTATTCAATATCGGGAAAACTCACTACACTAACTCTCAATAGAGTCCACAGCAAGTCTGCCTGTCCACATCTCCAAGGATTTTAGCACTTATCTAGGGGCTAAGCCCAACTCTTCATAGTGTTCCTGATTTTGTTTCCCGGGGAGTGGTTTCCTTAGGAATTTGACTACTCATAAATTTTTTGGGGAAACCCAAATGTTTTAAGGGACACACGTCTGCAAGACGGTTTTTCTAGGGGGTAAGACAAGTCCTCATGTTTTATAGCTCTAGCTAACGTAGTTGCGAATTCTAAATCGATATATGTTAAGCTTTATTTCACATTTCAAGAGAAGGCTGGTGTCAGTAGAACAGTTTGCGAAGGATATGGAAAAAAGTCATTTGTGGCATCTTCACTTTAGGCGATAGGCTGAACATCTTACGAACCTGAATGGAACGTCAACACCAGCTCGCCACCAGCAACAGAAGTCCAACACGATATAGCATTTCTCCAGCACGACAATGGAACCCGTCCCCGATGGTTTGCACCCTAGGGCACATGGGGTTTTTCGCTTTAAGTCCCAAAATTATATTTTTCTCATGCTGGCCTCTTCAGGAAGACCATCATGTTAAGAGGTACTTCCTCCTTGAATACCTCACTTAGGCAACGAAATACTTAGGTGCTACTTTGCTGGAAGTGAAGCAGTGAAGCATCGGTGTTGAACACTGATGTCATGCTGTCGATGATGATGATGATGACTTTGCTGGAACTTCGTTTTTTGTCGGGAAGTGTCATGATCAGAGAAAGTAACATCATTGTGGACAGTGGTGCTCCACTGCTCTACAAACACAGAGTTCATCTAATTACATTTAAAGCCTTAGAGTGTTAAGAAAAGAAAAGAGTAGGTGAGGGAGGGACCTGGTATCAGCCTGTCGCAAGCATTCTGAGATGCCTACATCTCCGATCAATCAAACAATGTGGAAAGAACCGATAACATGAATGCTATTGACATCGATTAGCCGCCATCTCCTGCAATGTCTCCAGCCAAGCGCACGAAGGGTTACGGAGATCCCATCCTGAAAGGTGGAACGCACCAACTATACACCAAACTCTTCTTAATATCTTTCACATGCACTGCGAAGTTATAAATTGTCCACCTCGAGATTTGCGCCATTCTGAACGAAACATAGAGAGCAACAGTCGTCTCGGCAGACGATGTTTTCGCATGTGTAGCACATGGCAAAGCCACCGCAGCTAATAGTACTGAATGTTTCTCACTACTGAAGTAACTACTGTACAACCAAGTTTCCCAGTTACCTCGTTATGAATTGTTTGACGTCGAAATTGGATCCACTAGACTAAGTTCATGTTTGCACGTTTTCTTTATATTCGTTCTCAGGATACCCGTAACTACCTATTCTATATGGCCGCTGATCTCACAAAAGCGAGGGGAATTCATGAACCCGTATTATGCCCATTCGGAACACTATACCCGTCGGAGTTCTCTAGGTACTGGTAACTGCGCATTGGCCAATAATGCGAATGACGGTTGGATCCCGACCGGGATCGAATTGACTTGCACCGGAGAGACAAATAACAGCCACCGCCATGCCGTGGACATGCTCCCATCGTTCGTTCTTGCCCCTCAGCTGTTCCGGTAAGTCTGGTTAGTGTGTTGTTAATCCCGTGTGTAGCGTTTGTCAGGTCAATTGATACTCTCATTCCTCAGCTGATCCTTGTCGATAGTATAGTAGTACTGTTGTAACATGGGTGGGGAGCCGTGTGCTCATTGCTTGATGTGCACAATCTGGCCAGCTGATGTGTCTACCCATCCATATATAAGGTTCATACAACGAACCCAGAGTAACCCGGGAAATACATGTTACGTTGTTCGGCCGCATACGTCAGCCAAGACCAGTACTTGCTTGCGCATGCAAGCACACGGTAACTTGTTTTGATTTCAGTGTGACACTATACGGATTGTTCCATGAGAGATCCCTTAAAAATACTCACTTCTAGATTGTTGATAGTTTGGGGAGTTTTGGAAATTTCGATGAAGTTTTTCCCCTGTAAGTGAAGATAATCTATGCTGAAAAACGGAGGGGTACTGTACAGCTGTTTCATTCTTATTTGTAATCATCGGCCGAACGGCTAAGTATCCCAACCACTAGCAGGGAGGTCGCGAATTCCAGACTTCCTGGGATTTCGTGAGATTCGCACTGCTGATAATTCCTAATCTGGATGAAACAGCTGTACAGTGTTACTCGGCTTCTCAGCGTAGATTAGTGTCACTCGCAGGACAAAACCTCCTTCTATAGTTGCTCCACAACAACTTTCTCCGTCAGCGATGATTTGTGCAATCCGACATCGAGAACTACTCCCCTTCGCGCACAGACAGCAGACTCTTATGTGTTTTTATACCTGGTCGAGTGTGGTTTGCTGTGACTTGCATCTACCCCATACAGCCACCTATGCAATTGCTCACTTTGCGTAATGAACCCATCTACTAGGGCCTGTTTACGTGCTTGTATCAGAATTCTACGTACTGACCTCCTAGCTACTGTGTTGTACTGCAGTTCGCACAGCGAATGGCTTGATAACCCTGCTCGAAATCTAGTTTTCTTTTTCGTACGGGACCCTGTTTGCGTACGACAGCTGCCTCAGCGAGCAAGCCAAATCGGGTAAGTGGGATAGAGTAAACTGATAATGGGCACTGTATGATAGGTGCGGTACCATGTGTGTTCAACGACCTCATATTGTTGTTAGTGTCATAAGCTCGAAATGGCCCAGTTGTTAAGCCGCGAATTTACTGACTGAAAGATCCGTGATTTGGAGCCAAACTCTGCGTCTTGACTGTTTCTGTCTAGACCTGACAGTATCTCAGCCCTCGTGCTTCCCTCGGGTGTTATCGGAGATAGGCACCGTAAGGGCGTTACGATGGTACCCTGCAAAACCATACTTGAGCACGTGTAAAAAACGGCGCTGGGTATATCAGTGGCTTTTAGTTCCAACAAAACCCTATAAAACTGTCAACATACTACTACTCTCTGGATAGCTGCAATCATGGGAATGAATAGTTCTCCCACAGGACCCTATAATACCAAGGCAAGAGTATTTCGTTAGAGCATATGATTTGATGCCTTGTTTGATTAAGAAATAACAGTCTGGGTCTTCACTTGATACACCATAACCATACAGTCGTTCGTTCAGCTGTGGCACACTTCCATTGCCTAACTGCCATGCCGCCAGAAGGAAGCACGAGGGCTGGGATACTACCAGGTTGCCCAAGCATAGACAGGCGAAGCCGACAGACAGAGGTCGGGTTTGAACCATGGGCCTTCAGGTCAGTAAATTCGCGCTCTAACCACTGAGCCATCTCGCCCAATACAATACACAATGTGCAATACACTTAGCAAATTCTGGGGTCACCCCAGGCTCACGTAGGCGATGAAACTGCCGAAGACTAACGCCTTTGTCTTTTTGGAGTAACGTAAAGTTTTCGACATCAATTTCTATCACTAACTAGCTTTCTAGCACCATAAAGACAGGTTTAATCACTTGCTTCAGCAGACTCTGCAGCTCATTGGCCGGGTACTCATTTTGGTATACCTTTTCGTGTCGTTAGCATGAGCCGAAGTTGATTGTTTTCGAACCACAAATGCTGGCTCCGTGAACACAATGTATCTTCAATCTGATTTCACGATTCTACACGATGAATATTATATTTCCTTTGCTTCCCTCCAGTCTTTGGCATGGGTTATTTCTTCGTTGGGAGTGGCGTTTGCCCAAACCGGATCGCCTGTACGTGGAAACAATGTCAGACTTCATACGCGGCAAACACACTCTCACATCCCATCGACGTCTTCTAGAAGCGAGGATACATCAACTTTGCCGACTCCTTGGACGGTCTCCGGATGACTATACTTTATCGCCTCCTCCAGACTTGACTAGCGGAGAGGAGAATGATTTGGTAAGTCTGACGGTCTTCTTTATGGGGAGTCTAAACCGTGTGGATCGTTGTATCTCTGTATCGCGGTCAGCGGTGAGTAGTCATCATCATCATCAACGACAGCATGACTTTGGTCAGTTCATCCAAGAATACTTGCGCCTTCTCCTCCTCTTCGAGTGAGTAGGTATCCGGAGGATGATCGATAGGAAGTTCCCGTCAACACCAACCAAGCCAATCAAGCTCCTCTTCCATATAGTTGTGATCAAGTTCAAACGCACTAATCCACTTGCAATATCGGCTATCCTGCGATTAGTTGATTCACGATGCTGTAATGAAGTGAAGCCATTTCACGCTCATGCTTTTACCTGTGTTGCATATAGCCAAACGTGTTGGATTTTCAATCGCAGACGTCCAGAGCTTCGAAAATTGCAAACCGTTATAAAAATAAACGATCATGGCTAGGCAGATTGCGGTTCGTCATCTCAGTATCTGAATGTACCCCTGTGCTCTCACGTGACCTTGGACCTGGATAACAGGGGGGAGGAAAAGGCCGTCATTGAAAGTGCATCATCGGAAAAAGTTGAAATCCTAAATGCCCGAACTGGCAACCTCTAGGTTCCTTGAATGGCCCATTGGTGCAGGGAACTGATAGGCACTTTTGCGTGTGTAGGCTAGCAGTGTCCCTTCATGCATCATGGCAATGGCCACCGTGGTGTATTTACATCACGACTGTTTGTATTCACTCAGTCAAATGTGTCACCTCTTTGTGTTGATCATCACATTGACCGTCAGCGTGTGTCGGTCAGAGGCGCTGTGCGCTAATATGCCCTTGTTAGCTGACATTCCGAAGTTCTGACTTCTTTGACACAGACCCATTACCTCCGTTTAGTTGCGCCCTCGTGGTAACCAGATTTAAGCTGGTAAATACAATATTTGCGTTTTTACAGAACTTCGATGTGTTGCAAGCGCCGTGCCTCGGACAACCAGACCATTCCAGTGACGATGCGGCAAACAACGGTACCGGTGAGTTTTCATTTTCACGATTGTCTTTGGATATCAGTCGGTCTGGCGGGATTTTGTTTTTTTTCGTCTGTTCTGCACTTTACTGTGATATGACATTGGACATTCCCGAAGTCCCGTTTCTTGTAGGCGTGTTGGTCTAATTCTTTTGATACGAATTATTACGGACTTTTATTTTCCGATTGGACGAACAGTGGAGTCATGCATTATCAACAATCATGTGACAGTCTACCAGTTTGTTGACAGTAATAACTTCAAGCACTAGACTTGGTTATAACCGTCAGTCGTTTAGTCTGCTCTCTCGCAGTTCACCAGATCAGGTTCATGGACGTGTGTCGTAGACCTCAATACAGACCTCAGGACACTCCAGTTTAATTTCGGTCCGACTGCCTCACAATATGTCCCCCTCTCCGGTTTTATCCCACTGCATTTCCAACGGTTCATTATTGTATTGTATGCATGGACGATTGGTCGAGTTTTCCCTATTCCCATAAACTGGTACGCTGTATTGCATTCATCGTGAATAGGACTGTTTCACGGTTGGTTTGGAACGTATCGCTTATTCCCCAAAGACGTCTTTCTCACCTCTCATTCCAGTCGCAGTTGACAACAAAGAACACACCGATGAGCCTGAAGATGATCTGGCCTCTATTCCCGTTCCATCCATTCAACAGATCCAAGCTGAGTTGAACTCAGTGAGCGTTGATTGGACAAACTTACTACGAAGAGATATTCCTTGTACCAGTTGTGGTACCTTGCTGGTTCTCGTAGATAGCATGGTCAGTGGAATTCGTTTCGGTTTCTCATCAATCATTTTACTCTTATACTCATATTTACACGGTCACATACAGACGTACTTGAGCCATATCTTGAAGTAGCCATCCAACAGTCGCCTTGTAAATTCCCCGACCTTCTCCGGATCAATGGAGTGCGTGGACTTTTGTTATCTTGGTCTTACTCCCGCTAATAATCTGACGAACCAAAATCCTTTTAGTATAGAGGTTGTGGAGTTTTGAACAGACCTGGGAGGTGAACCTTTAGGCTGAGAAACCAAACTGAATGGTTGCAGTGTGTTCCGTACGTGTGTACGACGATCGAACACCTGGTGTTTATTAACGTCGGTCTGAGCAGCTTTCCAAGATGTCGAGCTTGTCGATATTAGTAGCACCTAGTTTTCGCTAACCTTTTGTACATTCCTTATAAAGCTCTCTAAACCAAGCCCTTTCTAAGCCAGTCTACCAGGTATAGTGTATTTGCATCATACATTTCACTTTGTTTACTGACAGCTGCTACACAAGAAAAGTTGTCCGGCAAAACGTTTACGTTTTGCATCAGTTACGGATCCCTTTGACAAGTGGTTCATGTTAGTCGGAAGGCGTGTTGTTTATTTCGTGTAATAGATCGATATTCCATGGTACTTTTAGAGTGTGTTTCATCCCGATTATAACGCTCATCTGGCTACACAATACTCTGTAGATGAGTGAGTAGTAATCATCATCTCACTTTTGTCCCTCCATTACTTGCCGTCAGGCTCACTGCCATCGATGTGGGACGAGTGTCTGTTCCCGCTGCATTGTATCCAGGCCTCGGAACATTCCAGGTCTGTGGTCACCGCTTCTGAGGACAGCTTGGCTGTGTGAGCGATGCTCCACCGACCCCATTATTGCCAAAGCGAAACATTTCACCCAAACCACCATCCCATCACTCCCTGAGTCCCTTGGAGAGAACTTCCATCCACTGCATTGATATCAGCGGATTGTTTCGGTTTTTCCTCATTTCCTCTCGTTGGCCTAAATTCAGGGGTGATTCTTATTCGTCTTTCATATATTTGTATACATTGTCTACAAACTTTTCTTACCTATCCATAATGCGGACCATTTTCTTCCGGTTCTTTACCGTCTTCCCAAATACTCAGTTAACACGGACAGTAGGTATTGTTTGATACCCGGCGAGCGTTATCATTTTCTCTCCTTCCAGTGCATGCTTTCTCACCGGTAGCCGTCAAACTCAGCTGATTCGATTCATCATTCATTTGTTCTCTATTTCTGCGGTTCGTTTCTATGTTTATCTTCTCTATTCAACACATCAAGCGAAGTCTTTCCTTCCTCCGTGATCGTCTGCCCCGTCTGGCAACTTTTTGAACTTGTTCCTCCTAATGCGAAACTGATTCATACTCGTCCTCAAGATTTTTCAAATTGGCTAATCCGGGTCACCGTCTTCTACATATCACGATTGGCGCGGTACTCAAGCCGGGCTAATGGATCCGATTTATAGGGGAAACTGGTCGCCTTCAATGCAAGCGCCAAAGTCTGGTAGTGATAAGAATGACCAAACCTGATTCTCTGTGTTCGACTCTACTTCCGGCGGTATTTTGTAAGTAGTGCAAGTTTTCGGACTTTATCCCGTGAAGCAAAGCATACAAGCGCTTAAAAGTCCAGAAGCAACACAACCGTTTCGTTTTCAGGAACCCTCCATTCAGAAAAGAAAACTTGTCACTTCACATCGGCGCTCCTCTGAGCAGTTGACAGCATAAACTATTTGGCTGAAGAGCGAAAGAATGGTGACACATTTTGTTCAGGCCCAAAGTATCTACCCTGCGTACCAATCATTAGTAACTGAATGAAGCAGCCTTTTCGCTGCTCATCTTCCATCCTGTTTGGGTTTCCAAAAGTGGTTTATCTGTCGCGTCTTTGATTATTCTGTTGACTTCTTGATTTCTGTCACGCAAATAAGTCACCCTCCACCACAGGCGGCAGCTACACCACAGGCATATGTTTGCCTGATGTATGGAAAAAGTGAGGTCTTCGAGAAAATCTACAAAGGAGTGTGAGTTAACTGAAATCGCCAGTAGGTAGATAACAATCACCACGAGTACAGCTCAGACCCAGTTGTTAGCATTCTTCAGTCAGCCGCGCCAGACGTGTTGACAGAGATTCGAGATCTTGGAAACGACGTGAGAAATTATTCTTGGCTCGAAAGAATGTACCTAAAGTACAGAATGAGTTCAGCAAAATGTCGTTCTACAATCACGAATAGAAGAAAGTGATGTTCAGGTTGAACGGAAAGTGCACGCGAAACGGTGCAGATAATTTGGTTTGTTAGTGGTTTGGTATGCGGAATTCACAATAACCGAACGCAAGATACAGGATCTTGTTTAATATGAGATTCTACTTCCGCTGCAGATAACCATGTGGTAAGCCCAGACAGAGACAGCACTACTGGCTCCTACACCAGGAAGCTGAAAAATCATCTCTCTTTCCGCTGTTCTCTGAAAATCAAGCGAACGAATCAAGTCCAGAACAACGCCCTTACCTGTAATGCCCTAGAAAAAATTGTCGCTTCCCTCTGGGACACCTGATTTCCAAGCTGTTCTGGACCCAGGTGATTATAAACCTGTTCGGTAGCTTATCGAACATGATGACAACATCTGTGTACAACTGTAAGATCCGGACGGTTGTGGATCTCACAGGACCATTGCGACTATTTGATTATACGCAGTTCGTAGCCAGTAGTCAATGGGAGCAGACAGACGTGGGGCAGCAGATGATATATTGAGGACTGACAGGAATTGGTTCTACAGACAAACGGATTAGTAAGCATCATGAATTAAGCAAACGTACAATCAACAATGACGCAATCAGCAGGAGCGGGAAGTAGTCACTGACGCAGCAGGGATTTCTAAAGGTAACAGCAAGTAAGTACCAAGCGATGTACTAACATACATATAGGGACAGTCTGACAGTGTGAGTTGGCCGTAACGGCGCAGGAGTCAGTACGTTCGGGATGTGAGGGACTGTCTTTCGGTCGGCGTCGACGCAGCCGCTCGTGTCGCGTGACAGGTCAGAGCGCGCGGTTTCGTCCGTTTAGAGCAAATCTTGGCAACGGCTATCTGGCACATGCAGTACATAAGCAATAAAAATAATCGTCGAGGTGGTGTAGTTGGTGGCGCGTTCGCCTACTGTCCGGAGGCTCTGGGTTCGATAAACGGTAGGTTCACCTTTCCGTCGGAGTGGACGCTCGAAAATAGGTGCAATCCAGACGAACTTGCAAGCAATGACGGACGGGCAAAATAAGTATTGACATCAGTCACTGAGGAATTAGCGGACCTTGGGTAGGGACGAGACAGGGGGAAAAAGAACAACAAGGAAACAAAACGGGGTCATAATAAACAGGCCTAAGTCATCTTACTCATGAGTAGTCAGAAAACAAAGAAAGTTACCCTTGTTCACCGTTGAATCACAGGGAGAATCAACAACAACCAAAGAGGCCATTCAATAGCACAGAGGTGGAAAGTGTGGAAAAAATTCTGGATTGTCGATTGGACGTGTAGACTGACATTGAAGGAAATTACTTACTCTGAAGTATACCGATTTCTGACTCGACTTGTAGTGAGCCTGGTAGTGTTTAACTCCCCTTCAGCATTCATGATGATGTCTCAGGGCTACAGCCCATGCGGTATAAATTCAGCCATCGGCCACCCTGAAGGAGATGCATTGAAAACTCGAATGCTCCAAGCTGAATGTACGAGATAATGGCCTTGTTTCGTGTGGTCACAGTTGACCGAGCTTCCACGATTACCCCAATTGTTTAAACTCACACATCAAGTTTAGCATGGAAACAGAGTCCACCTCGGGCACATTACCCTTTCTGGACTGTATAACACATAAGATTGGCGGCAAATTAAGAACTATTATCTACCAGAACCTAACAGACACAGGAACCGTCTTAAGCTACCCAAAACCCGTGTACGCCATCTTCGGTGTTTCGTCGCGTCAGAGCGCTGTGCACAGAAGAGATCGACCGAACGGCAACTCAAATCGAGATTTCCAACAGACTTCAAGAGTTTTATAAAGCGTCAACTGAGAAAGATATTGGCTCCAGTATTTAGACCCAGTAAGGAATGGATTAGCACAACAGTCATTCCACATAAAGCAGGAACATCGGAGGTTATTCGAAGACTGTTGAACTTAGCCAGCATTCCAGTAGCTTTCCAGAAGGGAAAGACGCTACACTCAGTTTCGGTGCAAGTGGAAGATCCTTTACCGCTTCAAAGTACTAGGGAGTGCGTGTATAAAATTAACTGCAACGATTGCACTAAGGTTTACATAGGACAAAATGCCAGGGAATTAGTGAGCATAAAAGGAGGATAAACAAACCACCAAGGAATGCGGAAGAATTCCCAATGCTGGCCAAAGACCTCGCGATGGCAGCACATGCGCTAGATACAGGACATGGAATAGATCTGGAGAGCGTTGAAGTTTTAAGAGGGGGACTGCGATTCCCACCACAGCGGCTGATAACCGAGACGATGGACATTACTAAGCATCGCAGCGTGAATAGAATCGAGGGTGTGGAACTGGCGGGCGTATGGAAAGCGGTCTTAGATAAGCCGAGTTGTCACGTGACTGTGTGGTTATCAATACACGTAGAATCATTAGCAAAAACTGGGGTGAGGGTGGAAATCCCAACCCGACCAAAGGTCACAGCATCTCTCTTATGCAACTATCTTAGCACTGGCTGATCCACACAGACGGACAGAAGGTTCAAAGGACGTTCAAGAGGGATCATCAATTGAACCGAACCAGAAGAACTAGACCCTAGGCTGGACCCAAACCCCCATCGATCCAACACTTGTTCACCCACCGTAACAAACTAAAAATCCCTCGGTTGACACCCAACAGAGATCTAGCTTGACTTAGCTGATTGGTCCTCCTTCCGCCTTAATTCTCGATCAACCTCAGAACCTGGTCACTTGGCCTGACGAGGCTTCTGGGTTAAAAGCGAAACGTTACAAACGTTGCAATATATCTACCGATTGTCACCAAACTTTTCTGAAAGTCATTAGCTTTGTTTTCTGGCTAATCTAGGTCAATAACTCTCGGCACTGGCTATAGGTGGTAAGCACATGACACGATTTCACTTCTAACATGTGACTGACAGCCACCAAAACCGAACGCGCACTTGCAACAGATGACCTCAGACAAATTGTCTGAGGTCTCACCTCACAAAACCATCCAATTTGTTTCGATTTCTTTTAAATGCGGTTCCGAATTATTACTTTTGTAGGTCAGAATCCAGACCATTATGTGACAGAATAGGCTTTCAGCTTCAGGCACTGTCGTTTGATCGATATAACTTCTTGCAAGGTCATGTTTTGTTTGTCAGTCGGTGTTCATCCACTGAGTGCAGGTTGTGCACTGACTAGCCACACTGTATGATTGTTTGTAAGATAGGTATTTGGTGTTCTAGGAGTCAAACTGGTACGGTGATTAGCTTTTGACAGCCACCGGCTTGTTGTAGAAACACAGCGTTCTGTATTTCGTCGACAGCAGAGCTGTGAAAAGCACGTCCTACCAAACTGAAGCTGGCATACTTGCGTTTACAAATTCTAGACATGCTACTGGTGATTGTGTGAGTAGCTGGTTACAACAGTTCGGTTATCAGTTTGTGGTGAAAAGTACGCGGCAAGCACTGTCCCGTTTACCACCAGCATAATAATAAATAACAATGATTATTCTGCTGTAACACCCTTTCGGCACCTGTCTGCTGAAGGAAGCACGAAGGCTGGGATACCGCCGACATTAGCAGTCGAAGTGCAGACGTTGGGTTCGAATCACGGACCTTCCGGTCTGTAAATTCGCACCTTAGTCACTGAGCTAGCTTACCAAACTAACAAGTAGCCTGGAAGGCAGAACTGACGCACGACCTTTTTTCCTAATCACATTGCTCCTCCGATCGATACTCAATAGATCCTAGTCGAAAGATGTTTCAAGGTTTCGGGTTTCTTAAACCAGAATACAGTCAGATGGAAAAGAAACGTGGCACAACACCAGGATCAGAATTCCGGCACGAGACAACATGATGTCACTCCGGACTCAGTATCATAACCAACTCTCCTCATTTTGAACGCAGGTCTTGTCAATAATAGAGGTTCTTCTTCGAAGGGGAATGTTGCTCTATGTAAGCCGTTCGGTAATATTATAAGGAATAGAAATGAATGCATATTCTCCGGCTGGAATAAGAGCGTTTCCGAGGGATTTGCAGTCTGCCAAACTATTCGTAGCTTGAATGAGAAAAGCTTGTTTGTCGATTCTGTCTGTTACATGTAAAGAGTTCATCACCAATTTAGGAGACATCACCAGTGCACAATTTGGTAAACCCTGGTGGTGTTTATACAGTTGCCAAGGTGACGCACCGTCTATGTTAGCTACAACGCAACGGAAACTGCTAATCGACCAATGAAAATACGAAGGGGCGTGTATTCAGCTGAACAATCAGAAGAGGGGTAGAGGTAAGCTATTGAAGCCAT